CCTTCTGGGGGAGGAGAAAATAGGTCATAGCTCCCTGAGAGCCCAGCCCTAGTTTCTATTAAATTATTCCTTCTTTTCATCATGTTTTGTAAACCACAGATTTCTAAAAGTGCCAAGGGCTTTGTTTGTTTGTTTGTTTTGGTTTGATTTGGTTTTGGTTTTGGTTTCTTATCCAAGGTGAGGCCAAAGTTAACTTTGAGTATTTTCTATGAGATTCTTTGAGGAGCAGAGTGTAAATTGATTTCATTAGCCCCATAGAAATTATTCTCGATACTTTATACTATTAGCTTTTAAGTTATATCCTAGTCATTCATTCATTTGTCCATTCACTCTCTTATTCCCTAGACATTTATCATATCTTTCCTGGAATGTGCCAGGGCCTACACTGGTAAACAAGCTCTACTCTTAAGCATCTGACAAACCAGTAGAGAAGACAGATTTGTCAACAGACTATTATAATTTAGTGTCAAAACCCACATCCAAAGTGCCATAGCACTTAGAAAATGGAATAGCCAATTGCCCAGAAAAGTCAGGAAGGCTTCAGAGAGGACGTGACATTTGCCTGTTTGTAGATGCTAATGCCCTCATGAATGAAAGAAAAAGAAAGGGATTTAGATTATTCAAGGCTGAATACAAAAGAAATTAATGAGGACATGGAGCCAAAACACAGTAACCGCTTCAGAACCCCTTTCTTCAGTTTTTCTCTTAAAATCTGACTACTTGAGTCTCGCCCCTTTCCCAGCAACACTTTGTACCAAGATGCACACTACCTTAGGCCCCTGTATTCATCCAGCAATCTCGGATGCCAAACACAGCTATCCTGGGCGGACTAGTAGTATCTTATTCTTTTTCCTCTTCTTGCCCAGGACACTGTCATGAGGAGAATGCACAGCCATGCTGATCTAAGAACCTGCTCCTGGTGTAGCAATAGAATCTTCACCTGGTACCACCGCTGTGCCTGGCCAACCTTGCCTGTACCCAATGATCACCTTTACCACAGAGCATGCCTGTGCCACATCCTATGATTTATCCTACGAGCATCCTTAGCCTCCCTCCCAAGGATTTTCTGAGAAACTCTTGTCTAGGGCACAATATGTTGATTTTTAAAATCACATAAATGAATAGCTTAATTGATAATGCAAAACATTGGAGCAGATATTTGCAGAAGTCTTTATGGAGCTCATTCCTAAGCTTCTGATTCTTTCTAATAGACTGTTGCTATCTCAAATCCCTGCAAAAGACATGTTTTATTGATAATCCTAACCTAATCTATTCATTTGACATCTTTGTTACTCAAATGGTTTATCTTAAAGTTAATTCCAGAAATGACTGGCAGGACAAAAATTAAGAGATTCGGACCCTTTTGCTAGACCAAGTTGATAGTTAAAAGAATAAGTGGTTACTGCCTGTAGCAACCTAGAAAACCATGGTAAAATGCTATTCCCCAAAGTTTTGAACCCTTTTTCTTATCCCCTCTTAATTCCCGTAATGACCAATTCCTCGGTAACCTAGAAACAGCTATTCTGAACACTTAAAGGAGAATACTAAAAATTTTTATACCTAAGTAAAGATTGTGAGATGGGAGCAATGGTTAAAAATAAGACACAAATGTGTCACATTTCTGAGGTTAAAGACAAATTAATTGGCCTTGCTTTACCTCAGGAAAAACTCAAATCTTTCTGAATAACTAATTCTGTAGTGTTTTCTGAGATTTAGATTATGCTTTTTAAGTTAATTTGGAAGCTAGAATTTACTTCTAGAAAAAATACAAATGACTTAGAAAGTTCATTCACCTAGGATCCCACTACTATTTGTCTGGAGGATATTATCACTTCCTAGAAAAACAATGTGCCCTAAAAAATTTAAAACATGTAATCTAAATGTTATCAGTTCAGTTTTTCTCCAGAAAATTCGATGTATATTTTTTCCAAGATGAAAGTTAAGTTACTGTATTTACGATTGAAAAATAAAACTATTTGTTTATAACTGGAAGTTAATTTTTTTTACCTTTTCATTTTATTTTCTCCAGGTACATTTGGCATTAGCGTCTGAAACTAATTAACCCAGAAGATCAAAATGATCCTCAACTCTTCCACTGACGATGGTATTAAAAGAATCCAAGATGACTGTCCCAAAGCTGGAAGGCACAATTACATATTTGTCATGATCCCTACTTTATACAGTATCATTTTTGTGGTGGGAATATTTGGAAACAGCTTGGTGGTGATTGTCATTTACTTTTACATGAAACTGAAGACTGTGGCCAGTATTTTTCTTTTGAATTTAGCACTGGCCGATTTATGCTTTTTGCTGACTTTGCCACTGTGGGCTGTCTACACTGCTATGGAATATCGCTGGCCCTTTGGCAATTACCTGTGTAAGATCGCTTCAGCCAGTGTCAGTTTCAACCTCTATGCCAGTGTGTTTCTACTCACTTGTCTAAGCATTGATCGCTATCTGGCTATCGTTCACCCAATGAAGTCTCGCCTTCGGCGAACAATGCTCGTAGCCAAAGTCACCTGCTTCATTATTTGGCTACTGGCTGGCTTGGCGAGTTTGCCAACTATAATCCATCGAAATGTGTATTTCATCGAAAACACCAATATCACAGTTTGTGCTTTCCATTATGAATTCCAAAATTCAACCCTCCCCATAGGTCTGGGCCTAACCAAGAATATACTGGGTTTCTTGTTTCCTTTTCTCATTATTCTTACAAGTTATACTCTTATTTGGAAGACCCTGAAGAAGGCTTATGAAATTCAGAAGAACAAGCCAAGAAATGATGATATTTTCAAGATAATCATGGCAATTGTGCTTTTCTTTTTCTTTTCCTGGGTTCCCCACCAAATATTCACTTTCTTGGATGTACTGATTCAGCTGGGCGTCATACATGACTGTAAAATTGCAGATATTGTTGATACTGCCATGCCCATCACTATTTGCATAGCTTATTTTAACAATTGTCTGAATCCTCTTTTCTATGGCTTCCTTGGGAAAAAATTTAAAAAATATTTTCTTCAGCTTCTGAAATACATCCCCCCAAAGGCCAAATCTCACTCAAGCCTAACAACAAAAATGAGCACACTTTCCTACCGCCCCTCAGATAATGGAAGCTTATCCATCAAAAAGCCTGCCCTGTATGTCGAGGTTGAGTAACACACCTGAAACCTGTCTGTGAACTAATTTTGTGAAAAAGGAGCAAGAGAAACATTCCTTTACAGCACTTCACTACCAAATAAGCATCAGCTACTTTTCAGAAATTTGAGAGTGGATTACGTGGACTGAACTGACTTTTCTAAAGCTCTGAACAAAAGCTTTTTTCTTTGCAACAAAACAAAGCAAAGCCACGTTTTGCCACATTTTGCATTAGATAAATGATGGCTGCTCAAAAAACGTCAGAAATTGGATAGATGTGTTGATTTGGAAAATTTTACTGGCAGAAATGTCATCTCGCTAGTCCTCTTATGTTATTTTTGATTTCCACATAAAGGTATTTAGAATATGTTAAACCTTTAGGGGAGCAACAGGAGATCAGTGCTCAAGATTGCTCTCCCCAGTTTCCAAAGGGCAGGGCAGCTTTTGTACCTATTTAGCTATTAGCAACTGTGGTCCACTTGCACCTGCTACTATACATGTTGTACAAAGACTTGCCAAGCAGTGGTTGTCGACTTTCCCAAACTTGTGAAATTCAACCAGTGTCTTATTCACACTGCCAAAACATGCCAGCTCAGGCTCATTTGTATAATGATGTTACTAAAGTCATGTATAAAAGTTAAACTACTCGTGAAGGTGTTACTCTGGTCCCAGGTAGTAGTGTCTTCCTAGTCATATTAGTTTTATTTCATATGTGAGAAGTACATATATTTTGTGGTAAAAAGATTATATATCATAGAGTATACCTTACTGTTTTAAAAAGTGTATGTTCTATCTATATATGTATATGTATATCTATATCTCTAAACTGTTAGTTGGTTCAAATCTGGTAAAGATATATTTACCTTAAAATAAAATAATTTTCTTGTATTTAATCTTTATTATTTAAATGGATGCTGACTTTTTTTTTTGAATCAACAATTGGTTAGCTTTATTTAAACTGACACTTTATAGATTTTTCACACCAAACGTTTGTTTCCAAATGAAAAACATACCTAAACTCTACCATTTAAGTGTAATTTGCATTAACTTTACAAGGACTGAGTCCTCCATAAAACACTCCTTAACATCACATTTTGATCACCAATGTAGTAAATTTGTATTGATGTATACCTTTAATTCTTCCTCAGAAGGTAGATATGAAGTTAAATACCATCTGAAAAGAGGTTTTAAAAGTTCTCTTTATCCCATTGTATGGTTTTAAGAAAAAATGGTTAAGATATTTTTAAAGTTCAATATTACAATTGAATATGAAAAGTGTTACTAAATGAGGTTCAACAAAAAACATGTCTTTAAAAAAATAATGTGCATTTATAAACATATAAAATAAGACCTTCATTAATCAAATTCTGGTCAAATTTGCTATTTATATTTCTGGTTAAATGAGAGATTTTCTGTTAGTGCCAAACTTTTTATTATTTTTTTAAGTTTATTGGGGTAACATTGGTTAATACTATTATATAATTTTCAGGTGTATTTTGTAATTTCACATCTATATATTCTATTTTATGATTACCACCCAGAGTCCAATTTCCTTCAGCTACCATATATTTGATCCCCTTTACCCACTTCACCCTTCACCAAACCCCCTTATTTTTAAAACAAGACAATTGTGAATGAGTACAAACATATTTCAATTTAAATTTTGATTCAACTGATGTTTTAATACTGTTAGTTATAGATTTTATATCCTGCCATTGAAATAATAAAGAATACATTTTATTCCACTGCACATGGAACAAATGCATCATTTTAAATTTTCCCAAGTTTTTCATGCAAGAAAGAAAAAAACTCGTTCCTTCTAACACTGAAATAAAACATTATTTTACATTTCTAATAATAGGATTTTTCTAATTACATAGATCATTGTAAGAAATTTAGAAGATATAGGGAAGCATAAGAAATATGTTTAGCTCTTTCACTCAGAAATAATCATTTTTAACACTTGGATGCATTTTCTTCTATTTTTTTGTATTCATTATACACACATATATAAATCATATTAGAGTCATAATGTGTTTAGTACTTTTTAGACAGATTTTTCACTTAATGCCATAGCATAGTACATTGCTATATCATTAAATATTTTTCTAAAAAATTTTAATAATTGCATAACATTACAAAATACTGACACATCCTAATATAGTAAGCTAGCCCTAAATTGAATCGTTTAGTTTTTCTCATTATTTTAGTATCATAAATGGCACAGTGGTGGACATTCAAGTACATGAATTTGATAAATTACTCATTGTACACTCCTAAAAGTGTACGTTTTTAATATTCTTAATACATATTGCCAAATATTTTCCAGGAAATTTGTAACAATTTACAATACCAACTATGTATGAACTATGTATGAACATATTTCACCACAGCTTCAGCAGCATGGGATATTTACTAGATTTAAGCAGAAAAGGAAATTTTACTGTAAAGATCCAGGTGCCACAAGCAGGGATGAAACTGCCCTGA